AAGAGACAGTAAGGCTGTTTTCATAGAATCTGAAGCATCCGTCAGGAAAACGATGGGGTATCCCGAAATTTGTTGCTCGAAGTGATCGTTGGCTACTACCCTATAAAGTAACATGAACCAGAAAGATCAAGAGAACATTCTTCTAACATATCTCTAAGTTGGAAAGCCTCTGTAGCTGGGATGGGGTTACAGCTGAAAAATTCTTGAGATGAAGAGCCGGAGTATCGCGAAGAATCTGAGAACAAATATGACAGTTATGGAATATCTTCCTGATGATACATTTGAAGTTCTCATTTGCTTTCATGGAGGCCAAAGTTAAAAACTCAAACTTCAAAGGTCCTCCGTCATGTCCTTCATCGACATCCATGTTTTGGTCTCGAACTACATTCTCATCTTCAGAGCTCACATCCTCTTCCATTGACTCAGACTAGAGAAGGAATAAGTTATCATTTGATTGTACGCATTACCTCTGACTTAATGAGATCAACGACAAGAACATCAGTCGCAGAATTAGAGTAACTTCGCCAAATTGGGATAAGGGAGCTGGGAAAGAGCCGTACACGAAAATTGTTAAACTGAGAGTAAGAGTACGGTAATTCAAAAACTTTTATGTTAAAACTAACAAAGGTTATATCTTCAATCTTCTCTCCAAGTGATGTTTTAGAGTTATAATCGTCCAGTTTAGCTTTTGTTACTTTATTTATCATCATCATTGTAAACTGAAAAGATATTATGTGTACGAAGCAAATTTGATTGAAAACACCAGTTTAAAGACGCGCTTAAATGAAGCCAACCACACGCCCTAATACGTACTGTCACGTACAGTATATGAATGGCTAAAAAAAATTGCTTGACTTCGGATGTGAGTACCATTTTATTTGATTGCTGATTTTGTAAAACGTAATAAAGCTTTTATGTAATGAAGTTTTGTCAGTGAAACAACATGATAGAATATAGTGGGAAAAAGTTATATCAAATATAAAAAGACAGAATATTCAGTACATTCCGAACAACTAAGTTCAGTATGGGTAGCACTGTTATAGTTGCTGAAACTTGTCAAATTATTGTTTTTTGTAAGCTTTCTACTTAACTTTTGAGTTTGAGCTGAATTCTTCAGAAAGAAGATAGCTTCTTCGTATTTTTTTAATCTACCCCCAATAGTTCGATGGTAACCAACAGTTTTCCTTTCGACTAGGAAATTGTTATTTACGCCGTTACTTAACTTCCATTAGTTTTCTGATTTTTTGGACGAATTGTATAGAAGAACTGATGATGCCATTGAGTACATTTCTTATTGACATCAGTTGACATCAAATGAAATGAGCACGGTAAGGAATAGTATAAATACGAAAGATTCTTATCAGATCGATGGAGTGGCAATGTTTAGAAATGTGTTTCTTGTCGTTTTCTTGTGCTTAGGTATGAAGCAGCTTCATTGGCAAGCTCAGCTTCTAATTTGATTGTTATAGGTTGTGATGCTTACAAAATATTTGTTTATTCCCCCTTGATCGGCCATTCACATGTTAACTTCATGGGAAGGATTGCTGATACCCT